CTTCCAGCTTTTGCCCTTTCAGTATGATATTGGCTGTGGGTTTGTCATTAATGACTCTTAATATTTTGAGATATGCTTCATAAATACTTAGTTTATTGAGTATTTTTAACATGAAGGTATGTTGAATTTGGTCAAAGACCTTTTCTGCATCTATGGATATAATTGTGGTTTTTAGTTCTGTTTGTGTGATGAATTGCATTTATTGATTTGTGTATGTTGAACTATCCTTGCATCCCAGGGATGAAGCTGACTTGATCGCAGTGGGTAAGCTTTTTGATGTGGTGCTGGATTTGGTTTGCCAGTATTTTATTGAGAATTTTTGTATCAGTGTTAATCAGGGATATTGGCTTGAAGTGTTGTTGTTGTTGTATCTCTGTCAGACCTTGATATCAAAATGACACTGGTCTTATAAAATGAGTTAGGGTGGAGTCCCTCTTTTTCTATCAGTTCGAATAGTTTCAGAAGAAATGGCACCACCTCCTCTTTGTGCCTCTGGTAGAATTCAGCTGTAAATCCATCTGCCCCTGGGCATTTTTAGTTTGTAGGCTATTTATTACTGCCTCAACTTCAGAACTTGTTATTGGTCTATTCAGGGATGCAAATTTTTCCTGGTTCAGTCTTGGGATGGTGTACGTGTCTAGTAATTTATCCATTTCTTCTAGATTTTTCAGTTTATGTGCAGAGAGATGTTTATAGTATTTTCCGATGGTTTGTATTTTTATGGGGTCAGTGGTATGAGTTCGAGAAAGGAGTTAGGCAAAGTGGGTAGGAAAGGAGACTGGTTATATAGGTTAGAGCAAATGGTCAGCTAAGGGTGGTAATCTGGCCAGGCGCAGTGGCTCACACCTGTAATCTCAGTACTTCGGGAGGCCTAGGCAGGCAGATCATGAGGTCAGGAATTTGAGACCAGCCTGGACAACACGCTGAAACCCCGTCTCTACTAAAAATACAAAAACTAGCCAGGTATGGTGGCATGTGCCTGTAATCGCAGCTACTCAGGAGGCTGAGGCAGGAGAATCACTTGAACCCAGTAGGCGGAGGTTGCTGTGAACTGAGATTGTGCCACTGTGCTTCAGCCTGGGTGACGGGGCGATACTCCGTCTTAAAAAAAGAGACTGTACTATCTGCTTTTTAATTGTTTTTGGGGACACACAAATATCTGCATAATTTTGAAAAACTCTATGTTAAACTAGTTTTTAGTCCTCTTTTTGCATCGTGTAAGAAATGTGTTAGAATAGTGGTTTCTGTTCCATTAGTAGTTTGTTAATTTTTCTGCATATTCCATTCTGTTTGTATTGGTATAGTCTTAAAATATAGTTTTACATTTTAAGTTATAGTGACCCTCTGCTTTGTTCTTTTTTCTCAAAAATGCTTTAGCTATTTGAAGTGTATCATAGTTTCTAGTAAATTTTAGAATTTTGTTTTCTATTACTGTCAAAACAATGCTACTGGAATTTTCATAGGGAGTTCACTGAATGTATAGATTACTTTAGATAATATGGCACTTTAACAGTACGTATTCTTTCAATCCCTAGACTTTTTTTAGTAAAAGGCGACAAAAATTATGCGATCTGAAGAGAAACCACAACATGAATCCCTAGACTTTTTTTTTTGGAGACAGTCTTGCTCTGTCACCCAGGCCGGAGTGCAATGGCATGATCTCAGCTCACTGCAACCTCCACTTCCCGAGTTCAAGCAATTCTCCTGTCTCAGCCTCCCGAGTAGCTGGGATTACAGGCATGTGCCACCACATCTAGCTAGTTTTTGTATTTTTAGTAGAGACGGGGTTTCACCATGCTGGCCAGGCTTGTCTTGATCTCCTGACCTCGTGATCAGCCTGCCTCAGCTTTCCAATGTGCTGGGATTACAGGCATAAGCTACTGCACCCAGCTGACATGAAATATTTTCAAATTTATTTTTGTCTGCTCTAATTTCTTGCATTGATATCATATATATTTCATTGGTAAGATTTTTTTAACTTCTTTGTTAAATTTGTTCTCAGAAAATTATTATTTTAACGCTGTTATTATTATCCTTATTATTATTTTGAGACAGTCTGTCAGGGACCAGCCCTGACACAGACCGTGGGGGTTACAAGGGATGGTGGAGACAGAGAAATGAGAAAAGACAATTTAAGAGTACATAAAGTGGGGACTAGGGGGCCAACCCAAGTATGGAGCCTGCAAAGGCCCCAAGCTCTGGAGGACCCACATCATTTATTGGTGTGCAACACAAAGTGAGAATGTGGTAGGGTGTGGGTGAGACAGCTAGGGTGGATTGGCTTTCCTCTGAGTACGCATAATAAATTCTATTCTATATTTAGTAAACATCCTAGAGGGGTCGTAGATAGAAGCCAGCAAGTCTGGTCGCATTCTGTGCTTCCAAGAGGCATTCCTCCCTTGAGCACCGAGCATGGCATTCCATAAGCTCTTTCTTTCTGCACCAAATGAGCAGGCCATGCCATGACCTTTCTTCCAGCAGAGGCTCACTCTCTCTCAGGCTGGAGTGCAGTGGCTCGATCTCATTTCATTGCAACCTCTGCCTCCTGGGTTTAAGCAATTCTCCTTCTTCAGCCTCCCGAGCAACTGAGACTACAAGCACCTGCCATCACGCCTGGCTACTATTTTTATTTTTGGTAGAGACAGGGTTTCACCATGTTGGCCAAGCTGGTCTCAAACTCCTGACCTCAAATAAGCCCCTTGCCTCAGCCTCCCAAAATGCTGGGATTACAGGCATGAGCGACTGCGCTTGGCCTATTTTCATGCTGTTATAAACAAGATTTTTTTTCTTTCTCTATTACATTAGGTAGTTTGTTTTAAGTATATGGAACCATAACTTGTATGTTAATTTTATATTTTGTTGTTACTGACTGCATTTATTAGTTTAGACAAATTTTAATGTACTGTGGGTTTTTTTTTTTTTTTTTTGAGACGGAGTTTCGCTCTTCTTACCCAGGCTGGAGTGCAATGGTGCGATCTCGGCTCACTGCAACCTCTGCCTCCTGGGTTCAGGCAATTCTCCTGCCTCAGCCTCCTGAGTAGCTGGGATTACAGGCACGCACCACCATGCCCAGCTAATTTTTTGTATTTTTAGTAGAGATGGGGTTTCACCATTTTGACCAGGATGGTCTCGATCTCTTGACCTCGTGATCCACCCGCCTCGGCCTCCCAAAGTGCTGGGATTACAGACATGAGCCACCGCTCCCAGGCAGCAGGCAGGTTTTCTTGTAGATAACATAAAAGAAAGGAAAGCTGGAATAACCCCAGCCCTATCAGGCCCCCCAAAGGCTGGCTGGGGTTATTCCAGCTTTCTAGCCTTCTAGCCTTCTGCTTCCTAGCAGGCCAGCCAGGCACCTTTCTCTGGCCTCTTTGAGACTTTTTTTTTTTTTTTTTTGAGACGGAGTTTCGCTCTTGTTACCCAGGCTGGAGTGCAATGGCGCGATCTCGGCTCACCGCAACCTCCGCCTCCTGGGTTCAGGCAATTCTCCTGCCTCAGCCTCCCTAGTAGCTGGGATTACAGGCATGCACCACCATGCCCAACTAATTTTTTGTATTTTTAGTAGAGATGGGGTTTCATCATGTTGACCAGGATGGTCTCGATCTCTTGACCTCGTGATCCACCTGCCTCAGCCTCCCAAAGTGTTGGGATTACAGGTGTGAGCCACTGCTCCAGGCCGAGACTTTGATTTTGTGGAACAAGACAGCTGTTCTTTCCACTGGGCTGAGTGACCAGGATCATCCAGATTCCCACCCTCACTAACAGCCATGGGGTGTCCTCCTGGGCACACACTGCCCAGTTATGGCGTCCTCAGGCAGGAGCTCATTTGTCTTACACTTTCAGCCTGCTGGGGCTTACAAGTTGTCAGGGCTGTTATTGAGATAGGGAAATGAAGGGGGCAAGTTGCTTTAATTTTTTTTCATAATCTTACTATGGAAATCATCCACACAGATGCCAGCACAGGTGGGGCCACTTAGGATGCTGTGGGGTGCAGGGGCAGAAGAGTAGTTCTTGCCAGAAATAGCTCATGCCTCGGCCCCTGAGAGAAGCAGGTAGACATCTCTGTGAGGAGCTGAGGGCTGTGGCTCGGGGCAGCCAACCCCACTGGTGGTGGAGTGGGGCTACCTCCCATCAGGCTGTGTCTCCTCCACGGCAGACCCTTGGAGCCAGGAGGTGATTTCCAGTGTGTGCAAGGCAGGAAGCTGCACGGCCTTCAACACTCACTTCAACCCTGACATCTAACCAGAGAAGCAGCGGGGACTGGCCCATTCAGAATACCTGCAAAGTGGGACAGAGCCTCCTGTGGCCGGGGTAGGGGGTTGATCTGGGGTCCTCGGTGCTGGTTGGCCTGTCTGCCCATCTGAGCACTGCTTCCTGGGGGTGCGCACTGCAGGCGCCCTAAAGGAGAGCTGTGAGCTCATTACTGAGGTGCTGGGCTGACTGAACATGCATAAGCCACACCCATGGGGACTTGTACCCACTGGCACCTCCTTGCTCATCCCCACTGTATTACAAGTGATTATGCTGAGGTGGACCTCGAGCACTTTCTGGGCTGTGTCATGGCTCTTGGGCCTGGCCTGGCACTGAGGGATGGCAAATGAGGAGTCTGGAGTTTCTTTTTTTCTTTTCTTTTTTTTTTTAGACAGAGTTTTGCTCTTGTTACCCAGGCTGGAGTGCAATAGCGCAACCTCGGCTCACCGCAACCTCCGCCTCCTGGGTTCAGGCAATTCTCCTGCCTCCGCTTCCTGAGTAGCTGGGATTACAGGCACGCGCCACCATGCCCAGCTAATTTTTTGTATTTTTAGTAGAGACGGGGTTTCACCATGTTGACCAGGATGGTCTCGATCTCTTGACCTCGTGATCCACCCGCCTTGGCCTCCCAAAGTGCTGGGATTACTGGCATGAGTCACCATGTCCAGCCCACACTCACCTTTCTTCACATCCCCACCATCATATTTCACTTTTTTTCTGTGCTTGAATTTTTTTAACATACATATTACTTTTATGATAATTTATATGTAATACACACACACACACACAGGTCTCACTCTGTCACCAGGCTGGAGTGCAGTGGATGAATCATGGGTCACTGCTGCCTTAACCTCTTAGGCTCAAGTGATCTTTCCACCTCAGCATCTCAAGTAGCTGGGACTGTAGGCGTGCAACACAACACCTGGCCAATTTTTTAAAATGTAGAAACTGAGGCTTACAATGTTGCCCAGGCTGGTCTTAAACTCCTTGGCTTAAACAATCATTTCACCTTGGCCCACCTCCCAAAGTGTTTGGATTACAGGTGTGAGCCAAAAAGCCCAGCCAATTTTTTTGTTTGCTGAGATGGAGTCTAGCTCTGTTGCCCAGGCTGGAGTGCAGTGGCGGGATCTCGGCTCACCCCAAACTTTCCCTCTCAGTTCAAGCGATTCTCCTGCCTCAGCCTTCGAGTAGCTGGGACTACAGGCATGTGCTACCATGCCTGGCTAATTTTTGGTTCTTTTTTTCCCTTTTTTTCTGAGGTGAAGTCTTAGTCTTGCACTTTTCCCCCAGGCTAGAGTGAAATGGCACAATCCCAGCTCCGTGCAACCTCTGCCTCCTGGGTTGAAGAGATTCTTCCGCCTCAGCCTCCCTAATTGCTGGATTACAGGCACCTGCTGGCACGCCCGGCTAATTTTTGTATTTTTAGTAGACACGGGGTTTCACCATCTTACCCAGGCTGGTCTTGAACTCCTGACCTCAGGTGATCTGCCCACCTCAGCCTTTCAAAGAAATTTTAGGCCATGCCTGGCCTAAAAAATAGGTTTTTGTTTTTGTTTTTTTTTGAGACGGAGTTTCGCTCTTGTTACCCAGGCTGGAGTGCAATGGCGCGATCTCGGCTCATCGCAACCTCCTCCTCCTGGGTTCAGGCAATTCTTCTGCCTCAGCCTCCTGAGTAACTGGGATTACAGGCATGCGCCACCATGCCCAGCTAATTTTTTTGTATTTTTAGTAGAGACGGGGTTTCACCATGTTGACCAGGATGGTCTCGATCTCTTGACCTTGTCATCCACCCGCCTCGGCCTCCCAAAGTGCTGGGATTACAGGCGTGAGCCACCGCGCCTGGCCAAAAATATGTTTTAAAGAACTGTTAGAACCAAACTATACTCCAGCCTGGGCACCAGAATGAGACCTTGTCTCCAAAAACAAAACACAAAAACGTATAACAAAATTAAACTTCTAAGGTTGTGTCATCTGTGTTTCCTCCCTGCCTGCCAAGCGATAAAACTTAAATTTTTTTTTTTTGAGACAGAGTTTCGCTCTTGATACCCAGGCTGGAGTGCAATGGTGCAATCTCGGCTCACAGCGACCTCTGCCTCCTGGGTTCAGGCAATTCTCCTTCCTCAGCCTCCTGAGTAGCTAGGACTACAGGCACGCACCACCATGCCCAGCTAATTTTTTGTATTTTTAGTAGAGATGGGGTTTCACCATGTTGACCAGGATGGTCTCGATCTCTTGACCTCGTGATCCACCCGCCTCGGCCTCCCAAAGTGCTGGGATTATAGGTGTGAGCCACCGCGCCCGGCCTTGAGGAGCCTTTCTAAGATGAGCAACTTTGGCCAACATAATTCATGCTTATCCATTCCCAGCCCCCGCTGCCCCCCATTCCTAATGGCCACCCCAACGATGTGGTCAGCAGTGGGGTGCAGCATGGTGAGAGAAGGGCTCAGGGATGGGATGAAGGTCTTTCCTGCAGTATCAGAATGATTAACAAGTTGTCAAAAAGGTGTCCAAACTTTCTTTTTACCCTTAAATAGCTAAGATGTGTTGTACAGGCAGACCCAGGTAAGGGAAAGAGCAAGTGCATTTCAAGCCTCAGCTCACTTCTTTAGATGTCATTCCCTGGGCACGTGACCCTGCCTACCTGTACATGTTTCCCTGTTTATAAAATGCAGGAATAGGGGAATGGTTGGGGTTGGGAGGTGTGTCCTGGGCCTTTATCCAATAACCGGTGCTGGCACAGAACCGCCTAATCAGGCGCGTAGCTGGTGGGCAGGTTGTGGCTTCCGGCCTTTGGTGGGGACTTTGTCTCTGGCTTCAGCCAGAGCTTGGAGTCCGTATCTGCTGTTCTGAGTCCTGCACCTGGGGAGCCCCTTCGTCACAGCCTCTGTCGCCCTGTGATCTGCAGGTCCTGGGAGAAGCACAGCTAAGATGCCAGGACATCCTGGAAGCTGGGAAACGGTGGGTGTGCTGCGTTTGGCATCGTTAGAGAGGAAAGCGGGCTGTGAAACCAGCTGGACCGACCCCCCCACGGTCCGCTCCCGGGTCACCGACCTGAGACCTCGCTGGCGCAGCTCCGCCCCAGGCCCCTCTGGCCGGAAGATGGCGGCTGGACCCGCAGCCAGGACCCCCGGGTCCCGCCTGTCCCTGCGCGGCGCCCTGTCTGGAGCTCTCTGGGCAGCTCTGCACGCGCAGCCCCGAGTAAATACCCCAGATTGTTCAGGGATGACAGGCGGGTCATCAGTGAAGAATTTCTATTGGATGTGTGTGTGGGAGGGGCTGCGGCCCGTGGGGTCTTCGGTCTTTCCTGATTACTATTATTTTTTTGTGAGACGGAGTATTGCAGGCTGGAGTGCAGTGGCGCGATCTTGGCTCACTGCAACCTTCGCCTCCCAGGCTCAAGGGATTCTCCTGCCTCAGTCTCCCAAGTATCTGAGATTACAGGCACCCGCCACGAGGTCGGGCTGACTGTAATTTTAGTAGAGAGGCGTTTCACTATGTTGGCCAGGCTGGTTTTTTGTTTTTTGTTTTTTTTTAATTATTTTGTTTTAATGGAGCCTTGCCCTGTAACTTGAGCTGGAGTGCAATGGCCCAGTCGTGGCTCACTGCAACATCTGCCTCCCGGGTTCAAGCGATTTTCCTGCCTGAGCCTCTCGAGTAGGTGAGATTACAGGTGCCCTCCACCACGCCCGGCTAATTTTTGTATTTTTAGTAGACACAGGGTTTCACCAGGTTGGCCAGGCTAGTTTTGAACTCCTGACTTCAGGTGATCCGCCTGCCTCGGCTTCCCAAAGTGCTGGGATTACAGGCGTGAGCCACCTCTCCCGGCCGTAAGGAAATTTTTCTATCGTCCGTTTAATATTTATTCATTAAATTTTCTCATTAGAGCCTATTAATGATTGTTACACATTTTTCTGTTAAATTTTGCTGCCATTCATTGAATGCCAATGATAAAGAATGTCTGCTCTGCATGAGTACACACAGCTAAAAAGTAGATATCTAAGGAATTGTTTTTAATAGTATATCTACGTTACATTCAACATTTTATGCATTAAAATCTCTCTTGGCTAGGCGGGGTGGCTCACGCCTGTAATCCCAACACTTTGGGTGGCCAAGGCAGGCAGATCACCTGAGGTCAGGAGATCAAGATCAGCCGTGCCAACATGGTAAAACCCCATCAATACTAAAAAAAAAAAAATTAGCCAGGCCTGGTGGTGGGTTCCTGTCATCCAAACTACTTGGGAGGCTGGGGCAGGAGAATTGCTTGAACTAGGTCGGAGGCGGTTTCAGTGAGCCGAGATTACGCCAGTGTACTCCAGCCTGGGCAACAAGACCAAGACTCCATCTCAAAATAAAATAAAATAAAATAATTCCCTCTTATCCTTAATTTTAAATTCTATATTAGTGTTTCTTTTTGGGGGGATATGTTTTTTTCTGATCAGTTAATTGTATTTTTGCTTTGAAAGCTTGATATTATGAACTGAATAATAATTTTCAATTCTGTGCAATTTTAGACAATGTGATGCTTTATTTATTTATTTGAGACAGGGTCTCACTCTATCACCCAGTCTTTAATCCATGTGGAGTTAATTTTTATATATGGTGTAAGGAAGGGGTCCAGGTTCAGTTTTCTGCATATGATTAGCCAGTTCTGCCAGCACAATGTATTGAAAATTCTTTCCCTATTGCTTCTTTTTGTCAGCTTTGTCAAAGGTCATATAATTGTAGGTGTGCAGCTTGATTTCTGGACCTCTGTTCTGTTCCACTGATGTATGTTTCTGTTCTCGTACCAGTGCCATGCTGTTTGGGTTACTGTAGCCCTTTAATATAGCTGGAAGTTGAGTACTGTGATGGCTCCAGCTTTATTTTTGCTTAGGATTGCCTTGGCTATTCAGGCTCTTTTTTGGTTTCACATAAACTTTAAAATAACTCTTTTAAATTCTGTAAGAATGTCAATGGTTGCTTATTGGGAATAGCGTTGATTATATTAATTGCTTTGAGTAGTCTGCACCATTTTAATGATATTCTTTTTATTCATGAGCATGGAATGTGTTTCAATTTGTTTGTGTCATTTCTGATTTCTTTCAACAGAGGTTTGTAGTTGTCCTTGAGAACGTTCACCTCCCTAGTTATCTGTGTTCCTAGGTATTTTATTCTTTTTGTGACACTTGTGAATGTGAGTTCGTTCATGAGTTGGCTCTCGTCTTGACTGTTGTTTGTGTATAGGAATGCTAGTAATTTTTGCACATTGATTTTGCATTTGAGACTTCGCTGAAGTTGTTTATCTGCTTAAGGAGCCTTTGGGCTGGAGACCACAGGGTTTTCTATATACAGGATCATGTAATCTGAAAACAAGGATAGTCTGATTGCCTTTCTTTGTATTTGGATGCCCTTTATTTTTGTCTTTTACCTGATTACCCAGACCAGAACCTCCAGTACTATGCTGAATAGGAGTGATGAGAGACGACATCCTTGTCTCATTCTGATTTTCAAGGAGACTGCTTCCAGCTTTCGCCCATTCAGTATAATGTTAGCTGTGGGTTTGTCATAAATGGGTCTTATTATTTTGAGGGTTTTTTGTTTGTTTTCAATGCCTAGTTTATTGAGAGTTTTTTTAAGCATGAATATATGTTGACTTTTAATAAGTCTTTTCTGCATTAAAATGATCATGTGGTTTTTGTCCCTAGTTCTGTTTCTGTAATGAATTGTATTTATCAATCTGGGTTTTTTTTTTTTTTTTGAGACGGAGTTTCGCTCTTGTTACCCAGGCTGGAGTGCAATGGCGCGATCTCGGCTCACCGCAACCTCCGCTTCCTGGGTTCAAGCAATGCTCTGGCCTCAGCCTCCTGAGTAGCTGGGATTACAGGCACGCAACACTATGCCCAGCTAATTTTTTTGTGTTTTTAGTTGAGACAGGGTTTCACCATGTTGACCAGGATGGTCTCGATCTCTTGACCTCGTGATCCACTCACCTCGGCCTCCCAACGTGCTGGGATTACAGGCTTGAGCCATCGCATCCGGCCCTAATCTGGGTATGTTGACCCAAACTTGCATCCCAGAGATAAAACTACCTGACCACATTGGATAAGTTTTTTGATTTGCTGCTTTATTTGCTTTGCTGGTATTTTATTGAAGATGTTTTCATCAATGTTCATCAAGGATATTGTCGTAAAATTTTCTTTTTTGTTATATCTTTTTCAGGTTTTCATGTCAAGATGGTCCTGGTCTCATAGAATGAGTTAAGAAAGGAGTCCATTCTCTTTTTTTTTTTTTTTTGAATAGTTTCAGTAGAAATAGTACTAGCTCTTCTTTGTACATCTTGGAGAATTCAGCTGTGAATCCATCTGGTTCTGGACTTTTATTGATTGGTAGGTTATTTATTATGGCCTCAATTTCAGGACTCATTATTGTTCTGTTCAGGGATTCAGTTTTTTCCTGGTTCAGTCTTGACAGGGTGTGGGCTTCCAGGAATTTATCAATTTCTTCTAGATTTGCTGTTTTTGTGCATCAAGTTGTTCATACTATTCCCTGGTATTTGTCTGTATTTCTCTGGGGTCAGTGATAATATCCCTCTCATTGTTTCTGATTGTGTTTATTTCAATCTTCTCCCTTTTCTTCTTTACTATATTAGCTTTTTTAGTGATTTTATTTTATTTTTTCAGAAAAACAGCTCCAGGATTTGTTGGTTGTTTGAATGTGTTTTCATGTCACTATCTTGCTCAGGGCAGCTCTGAGTTTGGTTATTTCTTGTCTTCTGCTGGCTTTGGTTTTTTTTTTTGCTCTTGGTTCTCTAAGAGTTTTAGTTGTGATGTTAAATGTTGTTAACTTGAGCTCCTCCTAACTTTTTGCTGAGAGGCCTTAGTGCCAGAATGTAGTGAGATCAGATGTATTAAGGAAGTCCAGGAGTGATGGCTCATGCCTGTAATCCTTACACTTTGGGAGGCCAACACAGGAGAATCACTTGAGCCCAGGAGTTTGGGACCACGCAGGGAAATGTGGAAAACCCATCTGTACTAATAATACAAAAATGAGCCGGGTGTGCTGGCACACACCTGTGATTTCAGCTACTTGAGAGGCTAAGGTGGGAGAATCATCTAAGCCTGGGGAGGTCCAGGCTGCAGTAAGCCATGATGGTGCCACTGTACTCCAGCCTGGTGACAGAGTGAGACCCTGTCATAAACAAACAAGCAAGCAACAGATATTTTATGCCCTTCTCAGGGTAGGAAGCAAAATTAACGAAATACATTATTTTAAAAATAAAAATTGAAAAAAAAATTTTTTATTTTGAGACTGAGTCTCAGTCTGTTGCCCAAGCTGGAGTGCTATAGTACGGTCTCCACTCACTGCAACCTCCACAACCTCCACCTCCTGGGTTCAACCGATTCTCCTGCCTCAGCTTACCGACTATCTGAGACCATAGGCCCCCACCACGCCTGGCTTTTTGTGTTTTTATTAGTGACAGGATTTCACCACGTTAGCCAGGCTGGTCTTGAATGCCTGACCTCATGATCCGCCTTCCTTGGCCTCCCAAAGTGCTGGGATTTTAAATTTTAAATTTTAATTTATTGATTGATGTATTTTGAGATTAGGTTGTGAAACTAGCTAGTTTTTGCATTTTTGCTTCAGATGAGGTTTTACCATGGTGCCCAGGCTGGTTTCAAACTCCCGGCTCAAGTGAGCCACCTGTCTTGGCCTCCTGAAGTACTGGTATTACAGGCATGATTCACTGCTTGGCTATATATATATATATATATATATATATATATATATTTTTTTTTTTTTTTTGTCTTTTTTTCTTTCTTTTGAGACAGAGTTTCGCTCTTGTTACCCAGGCTGGAGTGCAATGGCGTGATCTCGGCTCACCACAACCTCCACCTCCTGGGTTCAGGCAGTTCTCCTGCCTCAGCCTCCTGAGTAGCTGGGATTACAGGCACACGCCACCATGCCCAGCTAATTTTTAAAATTTTTTTTGTATTTTTAGTAGAGATGGGGTTTCACCATGTTGACCAGGATGGTCTCGATCTCTTGACCTCGTGATCCACCCGCCTCGGCCTCCCAAAGTGCTGGGATTACAGGTGTGAGCCACCATGCCCGGGATATATATTTTTTTCTAATCGCTTTTCTTTCTGAGAGTTTTGTGGCAGAGAGTTTGATCTGTTTAAATTCATTCTACAAAAAAACAAAAAAGAGAAAAAAAATAAAAAAACTAAAAAAAGAAAAAGAAACAATAAATTCATTCTACATAGACATTTAGGATGTCAGCTTTTGGTCTCATGGACTCTGAGGTTACAAGTTCCCTGGTCTATAACAGGACCATACACATAAGTAACAAAATAATCAGCTGGGAGTGGTGGCTTACACCTGTAATCCCAGTACTTTGAAAGACTGAGAACCGCGGATTATCTGAGGCTAGGAGTTTGAGACCAGCCTGGCCAACGTGGTGAAACCCCTTCTCTACTAACAATAATAAATTAGCTGGGCAGGGTGGTGCGGGCCTGTAATCCCAGTTACTCAGGAGGTTGAGGCACGAGAATCGCCTGAACCTGGGAGGCAGAGGTTGCAGAGAGCTGAGATCATGCCACTGCACTCCAGCCTGGGTGACAGAGCAAGACTCTATCTCAACAAATCAATAAATAAATCTTAACATTTGTAATAAATAATTTTGTTATATTGAAATACAGTTACGTACCCCAAACCAAGGTCTCACAGGGGAAAGAAAGCTCTGGCCACCTGTGCTCAGACTGGGGCAACTGTGTCTTCTCTACCGTCCCCATCTCAAAGTTGCTTTCTCCCTGGCTGCCTAGAAAATCACCTCCCTGACTGGGTATGATTTTTCTTTGATCAGTATATGCGTATATATTTTTTTCATTCTTTCCAGGCTGACCGTTGCAAGGTTGGTCGTTGGTCGCCACCTAGCGGCCGTCTACAATACAGGCCTCCTCCAGAGGCCGTCTGGGCTGAAGGCTCGTGTGCGGCCCAGGGGTTGGCCGCCTTCCTAGAGTTCTCGTCCTCAGGAGCTCCAGCGGCAGCTGCCAAGGAAGGGACAGTCCCTGCTGTGAGCTGGGTAGAGCTCAAGAGTCCTACAGCCTTCAGCAGAACTGTCCTGCGGGGAGCTCTGTTGCATCCCTTGTGATGCAGAGCTCAGGCGTGCAGGGCTGTGAATGGGAGGCTGTCACTGCGCTCCCAACAGGAGCAGAGTGTGGGGCTGGTCCCCAGCTTACCACAGCTGCAAGGGTCCCACCCACGGGACCCGCCAGGCATGATGCTGGGTCCTGACGACAAACTCCAGGATTATGGCTCATGTGCCGCTGAGGCCTCTCAAAGTGCTGGGATTACAGGTGTGAGCCACCCTGCCTGGTCCATTTCTATATCTTATTATCAGAACTGATCATCTGTAAGCCCCAACAGGCTGAAGGCATAAGACAACTGAGCTCCTGCCTGATAAGGGCTATAATTGGGCAGAGGGCACCCCACAGTTGTTAGTGGAGAGTATGAAGCTGGATGGTCCTGGCCACTCAGCCCAGTGGAAATCAGGGGCCTCTCCATTCAGGAAATCAAAGTCTTAAAGATGGCAGAAAATGGTACTTGTCTGGTCTGCCAGGAAGCAGAAGGCAAGACAGTTTTGCAGGAAACTCCAGGCAACCTTCAGATTGCCTGATAGGGCTGGGTTTATTCCAGCTTTTCTTGCTTTCATTCTGTCTACAAGATACCTGCCTGCTAGCTGGGCACGGTGGCTTATGTTTATAATCCCAGCACTTTGGGAGGCTGAGACGGGTGGATCACCAAAGCTCAGAAGTTTGAGACCAGCCTGGCCAACATGGTGAAACCCTGTCTCTACTAAAAATACAAAAAATTAGCCAGGCACGGTGGCACACGCTTGTAGTCCCAGCTACTAGGGAGGCTGAGGCAGGAGAATCACTTGAACTTGGGAGGCAGAGGTTGCAGTGAGACGAGATGACACCACTGAACTTCAACCTGGGTAAAAGAGCAAAACTTTGTCTCAAAATAATAATAATAATTCCAGGAACACCAGAGACAGATGTTTTCTGCTATACAATAATTCACACACTGCAACCTCTACCTCCTGGGTTCAAGTGATTCTCCTGCCTCAGCCTCCCAAGTAGCTGGGATTACAGGCACCTGCCACCATGCCCAGCTATTTTTTGTATTTTTAGTAGAGACGGGTTTTCACTGTTGGCCAGGCTGGTCTCGAACTTCTGACGTCAAATGATCCACCTGTCTCATCCTCCCAATGTATTAGGATTACAGGCCTGAGGATTACAATGCCCAACCCTGCTTTTCTTTTAAAATCTCAGGTTGCCTACTCAAAAAACCGGAGGTTGCGGTGAGCTGATATCGCACCATTGCACTCCAGCCTGGGTAACAAAAGCGAAACTCGGTCTCAAAAAAAAAAAGAAAAGAAATTAATTAACTGTTCTTTGTTCTGGCTTCTGCAAACCTGTTAGCAGCTACAGCATCCTGGATGTGTAAAAAGGCCTCATTTTGGCCAGGCGCGGTGGCTCACGCCTGTAATCCCAGCACTTTGGGAGGCCTACACGGGTAGAACGGAAGGTCAAGAGATCGAGACCATCCTGGTCAAGATGGTGAAACCCCGTCTCTACTAAAAATACAAAAATTAGCTGGTCATGGTGGCGCGTACTGTAATCCCAGCTACTCAGGAGGCTGAGGCAGGAGAATTGCCTTAACCCAGGAGGCGGAGGTTGCAGTGAGCCGAGATCGCGCCATTGCACTCCAGCCTGGGTGACAACAGCGAAACTCCGTCTCAACAACAACAACAACATCAACAACAAAAAGGCCTCGTTTTCTCTCTCCTGTGCTCAGCCTTGGGATGCTAATCTGCTGAGCCGGTGGCCACCTTAATAAAATCCTCCCGTTTCACCATTGGTCTCTCTGGTCTCCTGAATATTCTGTAACACAATCGCAGCACCTGATGCTACTGGAAGATTCATAGACTCCAGGACATTTCTGGAGCTGAGAAATGGTGAGTGTGTCGGGCTGAGAGTATGAAGAAGGGGGAGGCCTTTTTGGAACCGGCCACAAATAGCAGTGGCGGGATAGAGTCTGAGCCTAAGTTCCCCACCACTTAACCCTCTGTCTCCCCCAGTGCAGGGACCCCGGTGGTCCTGTTCTGTTTCAGCCGCTTTAGCCCCAGCCTGTAGCCCTCTTAGCGCAGCTCTGCGCCCACAGCCCTGCATGTTCCCCAGGTTGTGAGAAGGTCATCAGGGCAAGACGCCGACTGGGTGTGCAGGGCTCCTGCGTGAAAGGAGCTGTGGTCTGCAGGGACCCCAGTCCCTACTTTACCCCGTTCAAAAATAAACTGAAGCACCATTAAAATGTTAAAGAGTTAATATGCCCTGGCCTGATGGTTCATGCCTGTAATCCCAGCGCTTCGCCAGGCCGAGGAAGTTGGATCAGGAGGTCAGGAGTTCCAAACCAGATTGACCAACATGGTGAAACCCCGTCTCTACTAAAAATACAAAAATTGGCCCGGCCCAGTGGCTCACGCCTGTAATCTCAGCTCGTTGGGAAGCTGAGGCGGGCGGATCACCTGAGGGCGAGAGTTCCAGACCAGCCTGACCAACATGGAGAAACCCCGTCTCTATTAAAACTAGAAAAAATTTTAGCCAGGCATCGTGGCGCATGTTTGTAATCCCAGCTACTCGGGAGGCTTAGGCAGAGGAACCGCTCGAACTGGTGAGGCAGAGGCTGCTGTGAGCAAAGATTGCGTCGCTGAGCTCCAGGCTGGGTGACAGTGGGAGACTTCCTCTCGAAAAAAAAAAAAAAAGAAGAGGAGGTAATACGCACCGTGATTAATCAATGGGACAGCCCCAGACATGGTTTGTGGGTTTGGTTTTGTTTGAGATAGAGATTTGCTCTTTTGCCCAGGCTGCAGTGCAGAGGCGCAGTCTCGGCTCACCCCAACTTCCGCCTTCCTGGTTCAAGCGATACTCCTGCCTCAGCCACCCGAGAAGCTGGGATTGCAGTCGTGTGCCACCAGGCTCTGCTAATTTTTTTTTTTTTTTTTTTGAGTAGTCTTGCTCTGTCGCCCAGGCTGGAGTGCAGTGACATAATTCGGCTCACTAAAAGCTCTGCCTCCCTGGTTCAAGCAATTCTCCTGCCTCAGCCACCCGAGAAGCTGGGATTACAGTCATGTGCCACCAGGCTCCGCTAATTTTTTTTTTGAGAAGAGGTCTTGCTCTGTTGCCCAGGCTGGAGTGCAGTAACATAATCTCGGCTCACTAAAACCTCTACCTCCCTGGTTCAAGCGATTCTCCTGCCTCAGCTTCCTAAGTAACTGGGATTACAGGCGGTCACCAATAGACCTAGCTAATTTTTTTGCATTTTTAGTAGAGATGGGGTTTCACTATGTTGACCAGGCTGGTCTCAAACTCCTGACCTAATGATCCGCCCACCTCAGACTCCCAATGTGCTGGGATTTCAGATGTGAGATACGACGCCTGGCCTAATTGTGTATTTTTAGTAGAAATGGTGTTTCTCTTTGTTGGTCAGACTGGTCTTGAACTGCCGACCTCAGATGATCTGCCTGCCTCCACCTCCCAAAGTGCTGGATTACAGGCATGAACCACCGCACCCGACGGTTTATGGTTTTGGGGCTACCAGAGGATCTTGAAATAAAGGCTTCCATAAGGTATGTGACAAAGCAAAGCAAATTAAATAATCGGTTGGGTAAAGTTAGGTGGTTGCTTCACTTGCAGTGTCCAGGAGAACATTTTTTTTATGTGATCAGATTAACTGGAGACTTATGGTTGGTTAAGGCTGCATTTGTTTTCTCTTAAGGTAGTAACTTACAAAAAAAAGACATTCGAGCTGGCCACGGTGCCTCACGCCTGTAATCCCAGCACTTTGGGAGGCCGAGGTGGGTGGATCACGAGGTCAAGAGAACGAGACCATCCTGGTCAACATGGTGAAACCCCGTCTCTACTAAAAATACAAAAAATTAGCTGGGCATGGTGGCACGTGCCTGTAATCCCAGCTACTCGGGAGGGTGAGGCAGGAGAATTGCCTGAACCCAGGAGGCGGAGGTTGTGGTGAGCCGAGATCGCGCCATTGCACTCCAGCCTGGGTAACAAGAGCGAGACTCTGTCTCAAAAAAAAAAAAAAAGAAAACAAAACAAAACAAGACATTTGAGCTAGATTTTGGTGTTCTTGTTCCATAGGAACCTAGACCACTAGAGCCACTTCAGTCGAATTACCTGCTATTTAATGATTTTAACTCTAGTGACAGCCACTGGTGTCCCCCTGCATTTTCCAAATGTGCGGCAAGCAGGGTCTCAAATCCACTCTGTTCTGTTCAGCCTTGCCAGGACTTGACAGGCTTGCAATAAAATTTTAAATTCCCGGTTTCTTTCTAACATTCCCTAAAGCCAAGTTCTCCCCTTCAGTTCACATTATCAACTATTTTTTGTTTTTGTTTTTTTGAGACGGAGTTTCGCTCTTGTTACCCAGGCTGGAGTGCAATGGCACGATCGTGGCTCACCGCAACCTCCGCCTCCTGGGTTCAGGCAATTCTCCTGCCTCAGCCTCCCGAGTAGCTGGGACTACAGGCACACACCACCATGCTGAGCTAATTTTTGTATTTTTAGTAGAGACGGGGTTTCACCATGTTGACCAGGATGGTCTCGATCTCTTGACCTCGTGATCCACCTGCCTCGGCCTCCCAAAATGCTGGGATTACAGGCTTGAGCCACCGCACCCAGCCTTGAAGTTACTTTCTTACTTTTCTCTAGGCCTTAAAATATACAACTTAACTTACCCAGAATCTGTTTCTTATTTATATTAATTCCAATGAGGTATAAAAAATTGCCTCTATATGGTTATTTTTCCCAGATTGAGACTGAATTAAGTTTCTGTCAACTTTCATATGGTAAGCCCTAACCTCCAATGTGATTCCATTTGGAAACAGCAATTTTAGAAAGTGATTTGGCTCAGGCAGGTGGATCACTTGAGCTCAGTTGTTCAAGACCGGCCTGGGCAACATGGTGAAACCCCATCTCTAATTAAAAAAAAAAAAAAAGGCCAGGCTAGTTGGCTCATGCCTTTAATCCCAGCACTTTGGGAGGCCTAGGAGGGTGGGTCACTTGAGCTCAGGAGTTCGAGACCAGCCTGGGCAACATGATGAAACTCCATCTCTAATTAAAAAACAAACAAACAAGCAAAGTGATTAAGGTTAAGTAAGTTTATATGAGTTGGATGGAAAAGCCATAGGCACTCAGTGCCAGCTTGTGAAAGCAGCTCCGGGGCTGTACTCTGCAGATTACAGGGGTGGAGCTGCCGAAGGCCTTGGGACCTCACCCCTTGTATCATAGTGGCCTAGATGTGACACATGGAGTTGAAGGGAATTATCTTGGAGCTTTAACGTTTAATGACTGCCCTGCTGGGTTCTGGAGTTGCATAAGACCTGGAGTCCCTTTGCTTTGGCTGATTTCTGCCTTTTGTAACAGGAGAATTTACCCAATGTCTGCATACCCATTGTATCTTGGAAGTGACTAACTCATTTTTTATTTTACAGGCTCATAGGTGGAAGAGACTTGCTTTGTCTCCGATGAGAGTTTGGATGGAACTTTTAAGTTTATGCTGAAATGAGTTAAGAATTTGGGGGACCAAGCCGGGCACAGTGACTTACACCTGTAATCCCAGCACTTTGGGAGGCTGAGACAGGCGGATCACTTGAGGTCAGGAGTTTGAGACCAGTCTGGCCAACATAGTGCATTTTTATTTTAAAAGTAAAGTTTACGGCCCAGCGCGGTGGCTCACGCCTGTAATCCCAGAACTTTGGGAGCCCGAGGCGGGTGGATCACAAGGTCAAGAGATTGAGACCATTCTGGTCAAAAAGGTGAAACCCCATCTGTACTAAAAATACAAAAAATTAGCTGGGCATGGTGGCGCGTGCCTGTAATCCCAGCTACTCAGGAGGCTGAGGCAGGAGAATTGCTTGAACCCAGGAGGCGGAGGTTGCGGTGAGCCGAGATCGAACCACTGCACTCCAGCCTGGGTAACAAGAGTGAAACTTCATCTAAAATAAAAATAAATAAAAGTAAAGTTTAAGGTTAGTTGCATGCATAATACAACTAGACCCCTAGCTATATTATTACAGTTACAATTTGGCATGAGATTTGGGTGGGAATACAGAGTCAAGCCACATCATTCTCCTGGCCCTCACAAACCTCATGTCCTCCTATCCTAGTCATCATTCCTTCCTTCCTTCCTTCCTTCCTTCCTTCCTTCCTTCCTTCCTTCCTTCCTTCCTTCCTTCCTTCCTTCTGTTTTTGAGACGGAGTCTTTCTCTGTCACCAGGATGGAGTGCAGTGGTGCAATCTCGGCTCACTGCAACCTCCATCTCCTGGGTTCAAGCGATTCTTCCGCCTCAGCCTCCCAAATAGCTGGGACCACAGGTGCATGCCACCACGCCCGGCTAATTTTTTTTTTTTTTTTTTGTATTTTTCTTTTTTTTTTTGAGACGGAGTTTCACTCTTGTTACCCAGGCTGGAGTGCAATGGTACGATCTCGGCTCACTGCAACCTCCGCCTCCTGGGTTCAGGCAATTCTCCTGCCTCAGCCTCCTGAATAGCTGGGATTACAGGCACGCGCCACCGTGCCCAGCTAATTTTTTGTATTTTTAGTAGAGACGGGGTTTCACCATGTCGACCAGGATGGTCTCCATCTTTTGACCTCGTGATCTGCCCACCTCGGCCTCCCAAAGTGCTGGGATTACAGGAGTGAGCCACCGCGCCGGGCTCCTCTTTCTTTCTTTCTTTTTTTTTGAGATGGAGTCTCATACTGTCACTCAGGTTGGAGTATAGAGGTGCAATTTCCACTCACCACCACCTCCACCTCCTGGGATCAAGTGATTCTCCCACCTCAGCCTCCAGAGTAGCTGGATTACAGGCATGTGCCACCATGGTTGTCTAATTTTTTGTATTTAGCGGGGACTGGGTTTCGCCATGTTGCTCAGGCTGGCCTCGATCTCTTGATCTTGTGATCCAGCCACGTCGACCTCCCAAAGTGCTGGGATTACAGGCATGAGCCACCGCACGTGGCTTCCTCGTCATGTTTCAAAAACACAATGTTGGGGACTGCTATAAAGGGGTGATTTTGCGCCAGTGGAGAAACTGCAGTAACATCGAAAAACAAATAAACGAAACAGGTATAGCAAGCGATTACTCAGTATTAAGAAAAAAGGTAAGTAATTTTTTTTTAAGATGAAGTCTTGCTCTTGTCCAAGCTGGAGTGCAATGGCGTGATCTCAGCTCACTGCAACCTCCACCTTCAGGGTTCAAGTGATTCTCTTGCCTCAGCCTCCCGAGTAGCTGGAACTACAGTCATGCACCACCATGCCTGGCTAATTCTTTTTTTTTTTTTTTTTTTTTGTATTGAGATGGAGTCTCGCTCTTGCACCCCAGGCTGGAGTGCAATGTCACGATCTCAGCTCACTGCAACCTCTGCCTCCCAGGTTCAAGTGATTCTTCTGCTCAGCCTTTCTGGTAGCTGGGATTACAGGAGCCTGCCACCACCCCTGGCCAATTTTTGTATGTTTAGTAGGCAAGGGGTTTCACCATCTTAGCCAGGCTGGTCTCAAACTCCTGTCCTCAGGTGATCCGCCTGCCTCAGCCTCCCAAAGTGCTGGAATTACAGGCCTGAGCCACCATGCCCGACCTCAAAAATATTTTTTAAAGAACTGTTACAACTGCCGGGCATGGTGGCTCAAGCCTGTAATCCCAGCCCTTTGGGAGGCCGCGGTGGGTGGATCACAAGGTCAAGAGATCGAGACCATCCTGGTCAACATGGTGAAACCCGGTCTCTACTAAAAATACAATAAATTAGCTGGGCATGGTGGCGCGTGCCTGTAATCCCAGCTACTCAGGAGGCTGAGGCAGGAGAATTGCCTGAACCCAGGAGGCGGAGGTTGCGGTGAGCCGAGATCGCACCATTGCACTCCAGCCTGGGTAACAAGAACCTCTACCTTCTGAGTTCGAATGATTCTCTTGCTTCAGAGTAGCTGGGATGACAGGCGCGTGCCACCACTCCTGGCTTTTTTTTTTTTTTTTTTTTTGTATTTTTAGTAGATAACGGGATTTCTCCATGCTGGTAAGGCTGGACCTCAGGTAATCTGCCCGCCTAGGCATCCTAAAGTGCTGGGATTACAGGCATGTGCCACCACACCCCGGCTAATTTTTGTATTTTTAGAAGACACGGGGTTTCTCCATCTTGGTCAGGCTGGTCTCGAACTCCTGACCTCGGGTGATCCGCCCATCTCAGCCTCCCAAAGTGCTGGGATTACAGGCGTGAGCCACCGTGCCCGGCCGAGGAGCCTTTCTAAAATGAACAAATTTGGCCAGCATAATTAATGCTTATCCATTCCCAGCCCCCACTGTCCCCGTCATTCCCAATGGCCATCCCACAATGTGGTCAACAGTGGGGTATAGCATGGTGAGAGGGAGCTCAGGGCTGTGATGAAGGTCTTTCCTACATTGTCAAATTGATTAAAAAGTTGTTAGAAATGTATCAAAATTTTCTTTTTACCCTTAAGTAGCTACTAAGATGTATTATACAAGCAGACCCAGGTAAAGGAAAGAGAAAGTGTATTTCAACCTTAGCTTACTTCCTTTTTTTTTTTTTTTTTTTTTGTTT